AACTGCTGAGCAAGACAGTCATGCATAGGCAGCACATGACCTAGCATTTAACATACGCATCATAGCAGATGGCAAGACATAAGAGAGGACCTTGAAGCTATGCCAGGGAGAAGTATGGGTGTACATGGAGTATGCATTGAAACTAAACATTCCTACATATGTGTTAATAAAGGCTGACAGTGTAGTTCCATAATAGGTGTGCATTCTTTTGCAATCTAGGTGAAGTTTGTATGACCTGAGCACATATGACAGGAACGTGATCTTGTCACCTCAAGCTCAGGGTGGACTTGGCATTGGCAAACTAATTAGAGATAAGGGGTCATGTTAACAAAATGGATCAGCTGGCTCTATTACGATGATGATTCTCTTTCAAGGGTGTTTACTTTGAGAATGTATACATGGATTACACATGGTCTGACAAAAAGAACAAGTGCAGTAGCTCAAGAAGTCCAAAGAAGTTTGGGGACCTCTTCAACCTATATATTGAGATGATTAGAAAACAAATGAATAAGAGGTAGTCTAGATCAATGATAGGAAAGCTAAGTGATGTGAAAAAAAAAAACTCATGAAGCATCAATTTTCTTTACCGAATAGGAGAAATGCATAGAAATATGTTGAGTAGAATTACTAACATCCACAAGGGAGTGATTAGAATGTGAGGGCTGCGTGGTCACTTCAATGCCAGATAAAAAGTAGATCTATTGGAGGAAGGGATTTTAGATGGAAATATGTGAATAGGAAGGTAGTGGTACCAGACCTCCCTCTTGCACATGCTGAAGTACAACAAAATGAAAATTAGTATGAAGACGGTTCAATCACAACTGTGTTCCATCCATGGAGAGAGAGATACGGTGACTCTACTAGAAGGGATGAGCCCAAAACTCCAAACTTCTTACAAAACTATTTTCCCAAAGGGCATTGAAGAAGTTTACTAAGAAACATTTCAAGTCATTGTTACTAATCCCATTGCAAGTTGACATTAAAAGAAAAGAATTTCCTCTTTCTAAGACAATACCATTTATATCAACTAATGAGAAGGTTGGAGGAAACTGAGAGGATGCAATCCTTCGTCACATAATTGAAACTAACCCTTATGTCGAAAATAATTTTTTCCTTACTAACAACTAGAATGCTTATACAGCAATAAAATTTAGGAAGCTATGTTTCAAGGTTTTAGATGCTCAAGGGTATTTTATTGAGCCTACCAAGAGTTAATATTTTCTACCTGCTATGTGATCCTGTACTATGTAGGAGAGTTAAAGTATTATTGATCAGTGCTGTCAAAGCAATTATGAGGCATATTGATAGAGAGGAATCTGTGCATACTCAAAGGCAAACAAGTTAAAAGGGAGAAAAGATTAGGATTTTCTAAACAGTATATGGCTTCTCGGTATGTTCTTCTAGGGAATTTACTAAGTATTATTTTAACATAATCAAATCTTCAGTGGAAGGATAAGTCATTATATAGGCTCATGGCATACCTTATAATTAAAAGTTACAGCTATTGCCCAAAACACGTCAAAGTGTTCAATCTCTCATCATTGCTTTAAACATAACTGAATCTCATCCACGTGTTTGATCAATATTCCTTAGGTTTTCCATTGTCGGGGCGATTTCTTCTGATACTTTTAAAGGGAAAGTTGAGATCCTTTATTTCATTAAGTACTCTTGTATCTATCAAATAAATAATCCAAAGGAAAATGTTGGTACGGACAACAAATAGAGAATGTAAACCTGATGAACCGTATATGTGGCGAGGTAATATCTCAGTTCGTGAAAAAATAGTGTCGCCATTATGACCAATCCAATAACAGACACTGTTAACACAAACAAAAAAGTTATTAGGGGATCAAAACAGAACAACTGAGCATAATATATAGATATATATGTAAAAAAGAGCCAAGTAAGTAGAAGAAAGCTCCTCAAAGAGAACAACCAGGACGTTTCCAGGATAATATGACAATAAACAAAAGCAACACAACAGCGGACGATATTAAGGAGATCACTTTTTCTTCCCCCACGCTTAACAAACACTTCGAATTTTCAACCATAATGACAATATGAAGCATAAATTTATGAAAAACACATCGTAAAAGTAAGAATTCAAATAGAGAAGCGTGGCATCTTATATTACCTAGCGCCCCAGTTTGAGTTTTCTGCAACAAATGCTCTTCTGCTCGAGGAAACGCATCCAAGCTCTTAATCGTCTGCTTTAAACCCATTTTTACCTCCTATCATTGAAAAAAACAACGCAAAAATATGTAAAAAAATTATAAACAACAAACTCTTAACAAACATCTTGAATATCTAAACCCGGAAATTTCAACGTCTTCCATCAATGCCAAAACCAACCCTTGCCCACATAATTGAAAATTCAGAATTCGATTAGCAAAGCAATAAGACTCAGAACTCGGAATACAGAAAATCCAGAACCTCAAAGATCCGTATCGATTACTCAAATTGGAGATCGAAATGTCACTTTCTCGGAAACCTTAATGGCGTAGATTTTAGAAATGAAATGAATTTCAAGCAGAGATCAACAGCAAGAACCAGAAATAAAAGAAAAATGTAGGAATCGAAGGCGTTGTACCGAATGAGGAAGGATGAAGAACACGATCGTTAAGGTGAAATCCAATGTGGGGAATTTTGCGCGACGGAAAAAAAACCCAATGATTAGGCTTGGGCCTAAGATTTACTCAAATTACTCTGCCCAAAACAATTAATAAATTTTATAAAAAAAAATAATTATAAATTATAAATTCTTTCGATAAAAATTAATTAAATAAATAAAAAGAAGTCCAAATACACATTATTTGTTGGCAAAAAGATTTGTTCTTACAGCTAATATGACATTTTCTTTATTAAGAAATTAATTTAATATAAAACGTCAGCCAGAAAATGCATTGAAAATAATTAAAAATATGTTATAAGCTAAAAGCGAATAAATAATAACCACAACTTTGATGGCATATAACCCGAGTAGAAAAAATTGACAAATAGTCACGTTCCAATATAGTACATCTGGGGACATTTTATATATAGCAGATGTAGACGTGATTTTGGTGAATGGTCATACACCCCCATATTGTCATGACATGAATAGCAAGTAAAAGAGGTCCAGAATTAGTATACGACTATAGACAACCCCATTGAACCAATGAGACTGAAACATTGGACACGTGCCCACAGACAACACGTCTTGGACAAGTACGACCATGACACCTGACATCTAGCCTCGCCTAGCCGTGCATTCCGAGAATTACCATCATAACAACACGCCACCAAAATACGCTAATTAAAAGAAATAAAATTTAGTTCCAATATTTACTCATCCATCACCATAAGCGTGCACGATAGGTTCCAACTCTTTTGTAGGTTGAACAACTTTGAATCATAACGTAAGGAATGTAAGAAGGGAAAATGTCAATAATTTGGATAGATCGTGCAATCTAACAAATTTTCAGCTTTCTCAAGTTTCCCGATCTTATATCTATAGATCAATTTGAGTTAGTTCTATCTTTTTATAGACATTAAAAAAATTATATTATTTAATGCACTTTAAAATTAGTAAATTATACGAAACAAAGTACCATCAGGTCAGCCACGTTGAAGTATCGTTTCTGAAGAGCAGAGCAAAGAGAAAGACATAAACCGATAACGTGCAAGATATTCATTTATTTGGGTTCTCGTTATTTTCAAGTGAATTTTAAATCCATCTAAAGCTATACAATGCTGATCAAACAGACTACACGCACAGTATCACAATCACAATTTTTTGAGACTTTGTAAAGCGACAATGTGACATTCACTCTCACAATTGAGTGAGTTAGTCAACTCAAAATATAGTTGACCCTTTGACATTGACAACATATACTTAAGCCTCTGACCCCGTTTTAAGAAGAATAATTTTGAAATGAGAGGGAGAGATTTACGAAGGAAATTCCTTCTTGAATATAATGTTAGAAAGCAACGTTCTAGATTAACAAATAAGAAACAATAATGGTTTAGATAACATATAAGTTCGGGTAGGAAAAATTGATTTTGTATAATTAAAATTTATAATTTATAGGTTAATAAAGTCTAATGGGCATAATTTGGTCATAATATGAGCAAATTTATCAATTAATTTTAAATCTCATAATTCTAAGGTTGATAATTTGGTTAGGTGCGATCATCAAATTGAAGTCTTAATAAATAGGGTTAGACACGTAGGCATAGATAGTTGACGTTAGAGTTAAGCACTCACGTCTGTCTTTCTGATTCTTAGGGACAAAAGACGTAAAAACTTTTTAAATTCTTTTACGAAAGACTATTGAAACCATTAAAGAGATGGATAAGTTGTTACCATCCAAACCATACTCTTTTCTTGAAAGACTCGAGATTCTTATCATCTTTGAATTAAGGGATTGAGTATGAAATAATGATCTCATGTCATGACGATGATCATTAGGTATGTTACAGGTAAGATCCTACTCGAAAAGATCAACGCTACTCATAAAAGCTAATGTTGAAAGGTTGTCAGTTTCAATTCCAAGAACCCTACACATGGGACGGAGTTACAATAAACTCAAATTCGAGGGTAGAGAATACTTTCATGCCTCTAGATAAAAGAGCTAAGTCTATTACCAGCAGATACTGTCCGCTTTGACCCATTACGAATTATTGCCAGTCTCACAGTTTAAAAACGCGTCTTTTAGGGAAAGGTCTTTACACCCTTATAAATAATGGTTTGTTCTATCTCTAATTTATTTAATAATAATAATAATAATAATAATAATAAGAATAAGAATATAATAATAATAATAATAATAAGAATATAATAATAATATATATAGTCATAATAATATATATATACGAAATTTGGATGGATCTAAACTATCAATAAATTGATATTATCTCAAGTCTTCTTAAATGACACGTGTTAAATACTCAGTCGTCATTATAAATCTGCACGTGCCACGTGGGTCTCCAAGAATTTGCTTAATTGCCGGTCAATCAAATGCAATAATCTATCCATCGAAAAGTCGACACCCGAGTTCTGGACTCTGCACGCAGTTTCACTGTTGATTGATTCACGAGATTCGCCGGAGCCCCTAAAAAATGGCGGAGAAGTACGATTCCGATGATCGGAATGGCACCGTGCCGGTTGACGAACAAGATAGAACCAGTCACAAGTCCAAAGGAGTGTATAATATGGATCGGACAGTTTATGAAACCCTCCGCCGTCTGATCGCTGAGGTTTTCTCCCCCGATAAAGCTAAGGGTTCTTCATTGTTCCAGCGCGTTAAGGTCTCCATCACTGAGAATGGCCCTGCCGTTGAAAAGGCCTGCAGAAACATTGGTCGCGATGTTCTTTGCTGGACTCGCAGGGGCAGTCCTCTTAGAGCACTCCTTGTTATCTCCGTGAGTATTACTGATAATTCCAAAACTGGTGGTTGTCTGGACTTGTTTATTGTGTTTGAAATGCTTTCTGTTCAGTACTTAATGGTTAGATGGACTGTTGGAGATTTTGATTTTATCGCTTAAATGGTATTATCTCTGTTGTTTTTTGGTTCTTGTTTAATGGCAACGATTGATCTGGGCAGGATTTGTTGTTAGTAGGAATTTTTTTTCCTTAATAATGTATATTGTTTAACAATTTGATCAATGGCAAGTGCGGTGAGAGCTCGAGTGGTGGTGTTTTTGACGATCGGAGAAAATAATTTGCTGAGGTAATTTCCTCTTGTTTTGACCCATTTGCCAATGTTTTCAGCCTTCTTTCTTTTTGTAAACTCATTTTCAGCCACCATCTTCTGCTGTTTGGTCTTGTGGAGGGAGTTGATTTCTTCTTCCATGGCCATACGTTGCATTGGACCTGTAAGACTGGAGTGCTACTTAGGTGTTTCACTAATTCCCAATTGTCTTTGCCCTTGTTAATGGATGAGCAACCTTCTGAAGATGTAGCCCATTTTTCTATCCATTCCATAAACCATGGAGGGTATTGACTATATGAATTGAGTGAAGATTCTTGACTTCGTTCAAGTATTTGCTATCCTTTAGACTTTTTCTTTTCTTGTTTCATCTTGAATAGACAATATGTTCTTTTTGATGTCTAGTTTCTTGAGTTTTATTGTTTGGTTTCCCTGTTGTTGTTAAGACCTATCAACTATGTAAAATTCGAGCGGTTTTGTTTGAGATTGTTTTGGGGCCAGGCTCCTTTGCGTACAGCTCTTAGGAGCTTTGATTTCGATACTAGTGCTTGGTTCCAAAGATGGTGACAGGAAAAATGGAATTTTTTATTCATGAGAGAATAATATATTTAACCCTTTTAGTTTAGATGCATAGCCTAGAAGGATATACCTAATAGCCCAAGGGTCAAGTTTACTTCTTCTAGGAGAGTGATTATTGAAAAGATTTAACCCTTTTGTTTTAGGGGTACTCTCATGGATGGAGAAGATACGTGAAAGATTTTAAAATTGATAGATTCCGTATGGAGTTCTCTAAAGTTCTTTGTGATTTTGACTCATTTTTTATTTGTGCCAATTGTAAGAGTTGTTTGTACCCTTTTGGCATTGTTATGGGTCGTTGATATCTCACCTCCCCATCTCTGAGGATTCTGTTAATGAAAAATTTTCTATCTAAAAAAAATTATAAATGATGAGAAATTGATAGACATTTTACTAACAATGGAAAGAAAAAGTTCTGGCTCTTGAGGTTCGACTCAAGGAGGGTGCAACTGTTGGAAAGATATATATAACAAAAGTCGAGGGTACCAAATAGGTTTGATACTGATGAACGATGTGTACTGTAGCGTAGGTCCTCTGACTGCTCTTATCTGTTTTCTATCTGTTGCAAGATTTTTGTTGTAATAGTCCTCTCTATCTTTCAGACACAGACAAACTGAAGTCTTTTTATGTTCTCACCAGCTCCCTTCTTATTAGTAGTTACTTACATTTGGAATTGCTGCAGGTTGGGACAATTGCTCTTCTTGCATTGACGGGATTGCTCATCTTTCTGCTATTCTTTCTGGCAGCAACTTTCAACGCCGTTGTTATTTCTCTTCTTGTTTCCTTGGCTGCAGTTGGAGGCTTCTTGGCACTTTTCTTTGCTTGCATAACGGCTGTTTACATCGGAGCATTAACAGTTGCTTTGTTTGTTATATCCACTGCAACAATCTCAGCAATTGTGGCAGTGGTGATTGCCGCAGGTAGCAATAATATCTACTCTTATCTAAGCCACGTTTCTCTAAAACCTCTTAACCTGTTGATATGAATGTGTACATGTTGGTTTGACATGGTTCGGTCTCCTCTTAAGGAATAACATGTGCATCAGTTTGCAGCTTTCTAGCTATATGCTTCTGCTTTCTCTTTCGTTGGGGTTCTCTACCACGATTTGAATTGTTTTCTGAATCATTTGTGTGCATTTAGCTTATGGGTATGGACGAAAATGTTAGGAACCACGAATCTCCACAATGGTATGATATTGTCCACTTTGAGCATAAGCCCTCGTGGCTTTTCTTTTGGTTTTTCCAAACGGCCTCATACCAATGGAGATAGTATTCATTATTTATAAACTCATCGATCAACCCTTTAATTAGTCGATGTGGGACTCTTCTCCCAACGATTCTCAACAATCCTCCCCTCGAACAAAGTACACCATAGAGTCTACCCTGAGGCCTATGAAGCCCTCAAACAGCCTCCCTTTAATCGAGGCTCGACTCCTTCTCTGGAGCCCTGGAACAAAGTACACGTTTTGTTCGACACTTGAGTTACTTTTGTCTACACCTTCGAGGCTCACAACTTCTTTGTTAAACATTTGAAGATTCAATTAGTATGACTAAGTTAAGGACATGACTCTGATACTATGATAGGAACCACGAATCGCCACAATGGTATGATATTGTCCATTTTGAGCATAAGCTCTGATGGCTTTTCTTTTGGTTTCTCCAAAAGGCCTCATACCAATAGAGATAGTATTCCTTATTTATAAACCCATGATCAACCCTTTAATTAGCCGATGTGAGACTCCTCTCTCAACAATTCTCAACAGGAAATGTTGTAAGCTACTGATTGAACTAGCGGATCGAGAGAAGTTTTGCTTCGCTTTCATTTAGACAAAGCCATATACTAGTCAATGACTTCCCATTGATTTTGTTTGTCTTCATGAGAGTAGACCTTGTGTCAATTGTGCACTATTGGAATTTCCGTACTTCAATTCTTTCTTTGCTCTAACATCTTGCATCTTCCAAATTCAGGTTGGATTGGATTCTTCTGTGTGGTATGGCTAGCAATGCGAAAAAGTTTTGGTATTGCTAAGCAGTCGATGAGCGCGGGCAGTTCAGCAATTTCAGCATTTTCTCATGCTAGACGTGCCCACAAAGATTAGGTATGTTTTTAGATGAGTTAAGTGAATGCTTTGAACTGGTGTATGTTATTGCTTCACACGTGTTTTCCCCTATTGAGAGTTACGTTTTGGAGGATCTGCTGCATATGTTGTGTTGACTTTGAAGTTGTTCTAGGTAGTGAAACCATAACATGTATTTGTAATGTAAATATTCTGTTAAATGTGTTGAGTCATACAATATAGTCCTACTATTTTATGGGTTCCTTTATTGGTGATGAAAGTATCTAGATTGAAGATAGAACTTCCCAGAACTGTCATAATCTAAGTAATATTTTGGCTTTAAGTTACTGCTATGTACTGTAATTGTGAAAATTTACAAGGATTTAAATTTGAAGTGTTCAATGAGGTGATGACTGATTGAATGAATTTGGATTTATGAAGTTCAAGGTTAGAAACATGAATTTTATGTTTGTTTTGTGTAAATCTTAAGTTCGTGTAATATGTATTTCATTTGGAAGAGGTTAACCAGATGCAAAATACAAGTCTTACCAATATAGTTTAGGTAGTCAATATAAGCATATAGCTCAACTAACATAAAACAACCATTTCTTTTCCCTCTCATTTTCACTTTTCCCTTTGTCTCTCCTGTCTCTCTCCTTTCTTGTTTTTTGAGTTCAACTGCGTTTGTCAAACGATTGAGAGTTCCTTTCTCTTCCTTCCAATGGTAGACGCCGAGTATTGCTATCGTTGTGTGAGACATAGAGTTTATCGATGTTTATTCCTCAGATATTGTCATTGCTTCTTTTTTCATGACTTGTAAGCTTTTAAACTTCACGGAGACATTGCTCTATCAAATAAAGGAGAGGAAAGGAAGAGAGCAAGGAGAAGGGAGATACACCCCAAAACCAAAAGAAAAAAAAAAGGTTGGGTCAAAGTTCATCTTCTTACTATTTTAGGTCATTCGTACAAAAAAGAAAAAGAAAAAAGAATCTTTCGTGTTCGTTAAGGTTCGTTCCATAGCGTTTCTGTTTCAAAATTAGATAGAGAAAAGGAAAAAAAAGAGAACGAGAAATTTTCAAGATATTGATATGAAACTCAGTTCCAAAATCATGTGTAGACTATGTCTTAGCAGTTGATTTATGTTCACACATGTTAGCTAAAGGTTAAAGGTTAATGAATTGACCATTGACTTTGAGTTTTTATTCCCACGTAATTAAAGCTTAATAATGGAACAAAAATAGCTCAAACGGCCTTAAATGAACGTAATACCAGTTAAATATTAAACAACACTTTTGCTTCAATATGAACTAAATATTTTTCGGGTAATAAGTCATCTACCAAAAAGTGCTCGAGGAAGGGTTGAATCAATAATTATAATGAAGCATATTGCAAGATAAATGTAAGACAATGGATAAAAATGCATAATTAATAATAATAATAATAATAATAATAAAAACCTAGGCTTGTGTATGGTCTTAAGAAGTCCAAAAAGTGTTGATGGAAGATTCATGATGACCAACTGATCTTTGGGACCCTACGTTGACTCAAAAGTGTTCCTACTTAAAATCAATCGAACTTCAAAACATCACGGGTAAGGTAAAAGAAGTTTACTAGGGTTGAATTCGGGTTGAATTCAAAAGTCTTTTAAAAAAAAAATCAATCGAACTTCAAAACATCACGTGTAAGGTAAAAGAAGTTTACTCGGGTTGAATTCAAAAGTCTTTTAAAAAAAGTATTTATAAGTGAAAATCGTTTCTATTATAAACCTTAGGGAAGCCACGACATTAATATAACGTTTTGTCAAAAAGCACTTTAGACGTTTTGTATGCATTTTAAAGTAATTTTTTAATTTGTTGAAATAGACCGCCTACCCATTTTATAAAATTCAAAAGCCACTTGAAATAATAATAGACAGAATTTAGACAGTATTTTATACATTTCGGGATACAAAAATTATTACCTCAATCAAATAAATAGAATTTAATGAGACGACAAGCGAAGTATTACCAATAAAATGAAATTGCTATTTACCCATAAATGATACCTATCAAAGTTTTAGAAAACGACTAGCCACCCATTTGTTTTATCCAAAGCTTAACAATACCTATAGGAATGGAACGTAGCTATCATAAACATGTTTTATGCCGCATGGAGGTAAAAGGCCTACGGATCATGAAATAGGTTGGGAAGAAAGAGTCTGATCTACCCGGAGTGAGCCTTCCATAGAAACAAATAAAGTTGGGCTATCGTCTTTAAGTTAGGTCGGAGCTCAAGAATTGGCTTATCGACCTGTGCACCAGTGTAGCTAATGCAACACATATTTAACTTCGGTTCCTCCAATATTTGTAATTGCTTTTAATGCAAGCAATTGGGGAAAAGGGGTATGTCTCATACACAAGTGTCAAAATTAAATGTGATCCCACCAAAGACACAAATAAAAGTGGCATTTATTACACAAAATTTTGCCAATCAATGAACAGTCCAATCAATGGATACTCGTTGAAGGTGACTGGTGGATGATTCAAGTTTTATTTGAATGCTTTGAATACAGCATACTATATTAATCCTTTAAAATTCCAAATTTGATTATAAATTATTGAATTTCCTACTGCCCTTTTGTTTATTTCTTGTGAAGGAATAAGACAGCGACATCTTTTTCGTGATATGACAACAACATTTCATTACAAAATTCAACAGGTGAATGATCGATCAAAAGTTTTTGCGTTTTTTAACTTGAGTATCACATGTCTACTAGTTTCTGCTTTGATCGTTCTCGAGCCACATCTTAGTGAGAGAGGCCCCATTATGATACTATTTGTAATGCTACGTGCTTAGAATTTGGACTAAAATTTGGAGTCCAAGTTTGACACCTGATAACTCTAACGTTCCCGTGCATCTTCTATACAAATCAACAAGATTTTTTTAGCATGCATTCTAGAACCAACTTGCTACAGTCAACTTCTTCTTCCCCTAAGTACTCATGAATTTCTACTATCTTTTTTTCGCTTTCTGTTTTTTGTCTTTCGTTTTCAGTAGTGGTTTTAGTATGAATTATTTTCAATTTGATATTTAAATGCTTGATTTGCAATTCGATTTCAATAGTATTAAAAAATTCTCGTATTTTAGGACATTTGAGAAACTAGGAGGAAATCAAAACATAAGAGCTAATTTTGCAAAAACGAGAACTCGAATTGAGGTAAAAAGCTATTTGAATTTTTCATTCAAGCCCAAAATTAAATGAAGCACGATTATATGATATTTATACTTGTATCGTGTTTCAATTGATACTTTTAATGTGTTGAGGCACGTTAAACAATAGAAAGTATGCAAGTAGCTATTTGAATCAGTCATTTTGAACCCGCACATGGTGGATTCAAAGTCCACTGCCTTGATCCACTAGGCTCATTAAATGTCATTATCAATCTTACGATTTTAAAACATGTCAGTCTATTACGGAGAAGTTTCCGCATCTATATAAGAAATATTTCGATTCTCTCTCCAACTGATGTGAGAGATCGCAATCCACCCCCTTGAGGGCTCAGCGTCCACGCTAGCACACCGTCCGGTGTCTGGCTTTGATACAATTTGTAACCAACCATCAAAGCCCACCACTAATAGATATTATCTGTTTTAGCCCGTTACGTATCGCTATTAGTCTCATAGTTTTGAAATGTGTCTATTAGGCAAAAGTTTCCACCCTCATATAAGGAATGTTCCGTTCCATTCTCCAACTGATATGGAATCTCACAAATCAAACTTTAACCGCATATATTAGCTCAAATTCATGGCAACTTTGATAAGAAAGATTATGCAATTTTCTTTAAAAAAGATGAATGTTGTTGGTGGGGTAAGAGCTGCAAAACATGTCCCACGTTCATACGCACATTAATTAGGGGTGATACGTATATTAGCAAACTGCCAAATTGAGGCATTAATTTGGTTGGGGCAGTGTTTGAATTTGTTGACCACACACAACACTGACATCAGGCCCTTTCTGTTCTTCTTCTACTCTCACTTTCCTTTGAAATATACTCTCACCCTAATCAATTCATTAATCCATGTCCAAGGACGGAGTCGTTGTCACGCTTTTAACCGTCTAATATCTACAAATTTTGATAAAAAAGTTGAGCTCGAATTTGTGTAAGATCTCACATCGGTTGGAGAGGATAACGAAAAAAACTCATAAACAGGTTGACCAATGTGAGATTTGGTCAACTCATGTACAAGTCAACCTTATGGACCATAACCTCTCGTGAGTTCGACTAAATCGAGCCTTGGGCATCCCACATGTGGGTCGAACCATATGGGCCTTTGCCAACCCATGAGTCAGCTATGGTTCGACTGCTGGGCTTTGGTCTTCCCTTCCTCATTTTTAGGTCTCTAATCTCTATGATTCTTGACTTGGCTCAAGTAGCTAGATTCACCCATGATAATTGTCGGCTCTCAAAGTTGTTCTATTCTCACCTTCGTCAAGCTTCTTAATTGGTCTTCCGTCGAGGGCTCCTCTATGACGACACTTGCGGGATTTATCATGTCTAACCATCCGCGCCAATACTCGAGATAGTTCTTAAGGATTTGCCCATGCCTAACAGGATGATACTTGAGTATGCACTTATGCCCTTTGCGCTGTTGCCTCAGTTTTTGTGTCGTTTGTTTTTATAAATGTTGTCACATTCACATTTTCAAGCATTCCTTTCATCTTTTAGGTAATCCCTACATTTTCCTTTTTTAATTTTCGAATGTTCATGTGACTTGAATAATGACATTTTTAGCCCAATATCTTGTTGGCTATGAATTAGGGACCGATTCCGGGACATAACACAAGGGGTTTAGGAGGTAGCTCAGAACCATCTCGTTCTCATGTAACATCGACCCAAATTATACTAGATGAAAATAAGAAAACTTATAACATTCCTAATTCAATTTGAATGCATATGTCGCTTGCTGGGAAAATGGTCAACCAGCCTCCTTCGAACAAGGGGTAGCTCAAAACCACCTCGCTCGGTACTTAGATTCTAATCATCTCTAGTTAGAATCTATGGCTCAATCCGATTTATTATGTGAAATTCCTTCGTAAATAATATTTTCAATTCCTTACCCAAATTATGTGACAGTGAAGGGACACATAAATGAATCGACACCACATCTAAATGAGAGTCATCAGAGTAGGACGACTAAGAAAAATTTAAAACAACTTCAGTACTCATACCAACAAGGTGTACTTTCCTTTTAAGTGGCTTAAACAAAAGAACTTCATAGTTAAACATGCTCCACTTGGAACTCGTGTTGAACTGTAAGGATACTTACCTTTTTTTTTTACCTTAGCTCGAGTCGTGAGCATTTTGATTACGTTCGTGTATTCGTGTCTCGACCTCGAGCTATAATAATTACAACAAATTAATTATATGGGTTGTTAAATAATTTGAGATGAGGGAGGGACATGGAATAAAAGTAGTATCCTTTGGAATTCTCCCAAATTTATTACTCTCTTTGCCTTTCCCCTTTATTCCCTTCTTTATTTTCTTCTCTCTTCTCTCTCTTCTGCTCTATATCTGTGCATGTCTCTCAAGAACAACAAGAACACCAAGAACAACAACACCAATCAAACCCTAAACTCATATCTTCTCTTTGTTTTTGAATCATTTCTTCCCTTTTTTTAAAAAAAAAACATGCCCAACATTCAAAGCTTTATAAATATTCAATCTTCTTCATCTTCATCATCATCTTCATCTTCCTCTTCTTCTTCATTTCTTGATCTTGATCTTTCTCTTCAAATTTCTCCTCCTAATAATGGAGTTGGGGCTGTTCATACTCATAAATTCAATCAAATTACTAATGGGGTTTGGCTTTTCAATCATCGTAATCATCATCATCATCATGCCTTTGCTTTGCCCCCGCCATTTCTTCGGAACCAATTGGATCCGGGTCGGTCGCCGATGGCAAGAGGGCGGTGCACGAGGGCGCCGAGGATGCGGTGGACGAGTACCCTCCATGCTCAATTTGTTCATGCTGTTGAGCTTCTTGGTGGCCATGAAAGTAACAATTTTGAAGCTTTATTTTCATTTACTTTTTTTTTTAGATTGAATGTTCTAAAAGTTTGGTTTGTTTGTTGTGTTGTTTTTCAGGAGCTACACCTAAATCCGTTCTAGAGCTTATGGATGTCAAGGATCTTACATTGGCTCACGTCAAAAGCCATTTACAGGTTTTTTTTAAAAAAAATATTACGTTATAAATTCAATTATCGATCGTGAATTTGAATCTACGAGATGCTTTAGCTATTAAACCTTGATCGAGTCGATGTCATGAACAGTAGAACACGGTTCCACCACTAAATGAATGCATAATAAATGCCTGCTCCCTTCTCACAAACTAAACCCTAACTTACGAAGAGAGAGAAAATGAAAAATTATCGTTCATGTTCATGTTCATAGGTCCGGTTAAGACATTTTTAGACTCAACTCAATTGTTGGGTTGGTTCGAGCTATTCGTGTCATTTATTCAATTTTTTATTTTTAATAAGAATAAGACGTCATGTAATTAAAACCCATGAAAATCTACCAACCAAATAAATTCAGGTCGGTTCTATTCTTAATTGAACCGAAATAAGTTCATCAACCAACCCAAATCATACACGTTCCACTGGGTTTTCCGGGTCATCAATTTTTTTTTTCCCGAATATAATAAAGTGGGAAAAAAATACAAAATTGAAATCAAAATCATAATCAAACTTTCTAAATCATAATTATGATAATGCTTTAACATTTTGAATCCTTAATCCCTCTTTATTAACACCACTTTCTACATAATAATTATAATTATGCTTTTAACATTTTGAATCCTTTAAAAATTAAGTTTTAAATTAATGAATTATCTTTTCTTTTTTTTTCTTTTTTTTTTAAATATTGTTGCAGATGTTTCGTGCTCATAAGACGACCACCGACAAGCCTGCAGCTTCTCCAGGTAATTCCTTTACCCCTTTTCTTTTTATCAGCCTTATCTCTCTTTTCTTTTTATACCCTAAACCAACCTTCTTGCATTGCATTTACCCAACAAATGTCCTCTATTTTGCTGGACAAGCTCCTATGTTCTTGGACATATATGTACCTCACTTTACTATCAAATCATACAAATTTCATGTTTTATTTGAAGCTCGGTCCGAGGATAGCTCGGGTGTTCTAGACGATGAAATGTTATCCATCTCGATGTCGATAGGAAGTGAAACGGGAGATGGAAGCTTGCAACTTTTTTCGACTCAAAGGGATATGGGCTATTCTTCCTCCAATACTCCCGTTCTCTCTGTGAATTCCACGAGGTAACTTTAATTATTACGTTAAAAACTGTTAATGCTTTATTTAAAACATATTCTTAATTTTTCAAAAGTTTGATTAATACGCTTTAATTTTTTTTTAAAAAAAGTCAAAAACACATTTAGTATTAGTGTATGGACAAAACTTGAAAAGGAATATAACTTATGTGATATAGATAGACGGGAAAGACAGTTTTAAAACTTTTTCCTTAAGGGTGTTAATGCTACTTATTAAAATGAGTATTTTTAAACAAATTATTAACCGTTTTCATTCAAAATTAACAGTAAAAGTATTTCTAATTTTTTTTTTTTTTTTGTAAGTTTAAGGTATTGTTGAAACTTTTGAAACCTCGGAACTATTTTTTAGACGAATTTTTATTAATTTAACGTAAACATACCTCCAAACCCTTATTCGAAAAGAGTAAGAACAAAAATAAAATAAAATATAAAAAAAAGGTAAATGGGTTGTGTTGATTAAAGGTGAAACAAAATCCAAAGAATGCTGTTTTCTGACAAACAAAGAAAAGCATAGATTTTTACGTCCAAAAGATCCAAAATTCAAAGATCTCTGTGTTGCATTGGTTTCTGCATGGATGTTGCGAAGAACGAGAAGAACGAGAAGAACACGAAGAACACGAAGAACACAAGAAGAAGAACATGAACTTAAAAGCCCTTCTGCTACCTTTGCTTTCTTTTCCTTTTTCTTAGCCCTTAATCGCACAACCCTGCCTATCAAATTACCTAAAACAATCAAAAAAGCAACTCAAATCTTCTTTCTTGCGCAAAAGATTGAGTTATGAGTTTGAATTCTTTTTAACTTTTTACTTTATTCCGACGTGTTTCGTTATCTAAACATACAAATTTTTAGATAATAATTAAAAAAATTTTGACACGTAACTTAAGTTCATCTGATGAAGTAATTTCAAAATGGACAAACTATTGGAACCAAGCTTAGAGTTAGAGAATCGAGTTTTTGTTTAGTCTAACTATCCCAAAATTAGTCTCATGTGACACAATTCATGGGTTTTTGTTAACTCGATCATTGAATTAATCTATAACCATGTGTTACGTGTGCATTAAATTAATAGAGTTAATAATGATATGAGTCCATTAGGTATAATAATAATTAAAAATATTTTTTGAACACTTTTTAAATTTTAAGAGTATTTTTTAAATAAAATATTAAGAATTTTAGAATATTTGAAAGCTCCTAAAATGCATTTTTAATTTTTTTTTTAAATTTAAAGATATTATTGAAACTTTTATCGATATATTTTTATTATTTTTGTGAGTCTTCAGCGTTAGAGACGGTCGACCAACGAGGAGTTGCCATGACATGGATGGCGGCCAATCATCAACTTTAAAAGTTCCACCAAGATCCTCACAACAAAAGGTATAAATTCAAGCACAAATTTATATAATATTTTCTTTTTAATATAATTCTAGGAGTAATTTAATTAATATTGATTTACGGGTTTGATTCAGCTCAGATGAGAAGTTGTTCGGGAGATTAATTACATTCGGATTGTCTGAACCCTAATTTAAAGATGGTTTTAGGCAAATCTGATTGTCGTGCGCTCGAGAAGAATGTTTAGTTACTGATCTTTGTATTTTTTCTAATTATGTACTTAAATATTGGAGACATTATTAATTCATATAAAAGTTTAGAGTTTAGAGTTCGAGAAGGAGAGCGCATATCGATTTTGTATTATGGTGTTTAATGACTTGCTTGTGTAGTGGTTAAGATATCATTATATTCTAATTTATAAGGCTAAACATATATAATTTGTATTTATTGTATTAATATTAATTCATCGTGTAGCAGTGAGTAAGACACTAATTACCATTTTAAAGGTTAATCATTAAAATTTAGGAACAAAATAAAGTTTTCTAGTCTCACCTAAATATTATAGCCTATTTCAAACACAATTTTTGAATTAGAACCTCTCGTATGTACTGTATATGTAACAATTCAAGCCCACCGCTAGCAGGTATTGTCCTATTTGGCCCGTTATGTATCGCCGTCAGCTTCACGATTTTAAAACGCGTCTGCTAGGGAGAGGGTTCGACACCCTTATAAGGAATGTTTCATTCTCATCTCCAATCGATGTGGGTTCTTACCGTTCACCTCCGAAGCTCTAATACCATTTGTAATGGCCAAAACCCACCACTAGTAGATATTGTCCGCTTTGACCCATTACGTATTATGGTCAGCCTCACAGTTTTAAAATGTGTCTGCTAAGGAAAGGTTTCTACACCCTTATAAGAAATGTTTCATTCTCATCTCCAACGGAGGTGGGTTCTTACCGTCCACCCCCCAAGGGTAGCTCTAATACCATTTGTAATGGTCTAAACCCACCACTAGCCGATATTGTCCGCTTTGACTCATTACGTATTATGGTCAGTCTCACAGTTTTAAAATATGTCTGCTAAGGAGAGATTTTCACACCCGTATAACGAATATTTTATTCTCCTCTCAAACCGATGTGAGATCTGGTAACATACCTAGTTGAGTATTAAATTTAATAATTTATGAACCGATCTTTCTTTAGTTGAGGGTGAAAATTCGAATCTTCGCCCTTTTATTTATTAAACTAAAAAAAATCTACGAGACTTTCGAACCATCAAACTAATGCACTTGATCGATAGATTATCTTTTTTTAAAAAAAATGGATTGAAAAACGAATGCTTCGTCTCAAATTACTTTTGTTATACTAATATTTAAAAAGGCACGTCGACAGAAAATGTCATATCCCTATTTAAGAAAAAATTAAAAGGTTTGATACAACACCTCAAATTTTGGGTACTACCATCATAAATGACATCTCAATTTGGATGATAGCATGGGACACACTTGAACCTCTAGCGTTATACAATTTATTTCTTACACGACCCACATGTTGAGCTGAATAAGGAGTCGGGGACAAATTATGTAGACAAATTTGGCACATGCATTTGACATGACAGCTCACGGATTAGCTCAACATGTACCTTATGATATCACGACGTGTCGTATGACATACTACTTAATGTAGCTCATAATGTATGACAATTCTAAAAATCATATTTCTACTCGGTTTGATTCGAACACAGATATTAGTGCACTCCTACAAAAATAATAAAAAGAAAAGAAAAATAGATAAATTATTTTCTTATGTTATAATTAAAACTAAAATGGAAAAAAATTGAAAAAAACAAATGATGACTGGAAATATTTAATTAATAAAATAAAGAGCCATTTAGTAATTAATTAATAATTTGAGCAATTTTTTGAACCATAAAATATTTATAGATTTTTCTTAGTTATTTATAATTACATATATTTGAATTAATAATTTTTTTAAAAAAATACATACCATTAATTAAACATTAATGTTGTAGGAAGACTTGTGTGCACGATTCCTAATAAGAGTGTGGATGCATTTTAAAAATTATGAGGCTAAAGACGGTACGTAACGGACTAAAATGAATAATATCTGCTAATAGTAGCTTCGGGATGTTACAATTGGTATCAGAGCTAGGTACCGAGCGGTGTGCTGTGAGGATGTTGGGCCTTAAGGGGTGGATTGTGAGATCTCACATTTGTTGGAGAGGGGAATGAAACATTCCTTATAAGGGTGTGAAACCTTTCTCTAATAGACTCGTTTTAAAACCGTGAGGCTGACGACCATATCTCAACTCTCAGCACTAAGAGCATCTTAAAAAATGACGTTCCCCGAAGAATGAACAAAACTTGCTAAACACAACTCGTGCAATAATTATGAGAATACGCTAAACTAGTTCGATCCAAAAATATCACCAAGACGTTTTTTGAAGCGTGGAAGGGTTGTAAAACTAGATTATTGTAAGATTTTAGGATTTGTGAATGTTTAGCGGGTCCGACAAGACAAACTCTAAAAGTTGGAACACACTCTAAGGTTCCCTATGGTTCCAAAAAACAATAACGTATTCGTATCAACAACTTTATACTCGTTTCTTTTGGGAGAGAATCACACAAAAAGACAATAAGTTGAGTTGGCTCCAACTAAGCTATTACAAACGTTGACAAGAGTTGATAGTTTTATTAAACAGCCGAAAGTCAAATGAATTCTAATCGTGAGTAAGAAGACAAGCTTTATAGTACTAGAAGAGTAGTCGGACAACCTGGCTAACTGTTACATAGACTTGACAATCTAAAAAGCGTCGCAAATATGGCTAAATTATCGCCCTTTATAATCATAACAGTGATGTAACGACTAATTTTAAGAAACTCGAGAATCATAAAATTAAAATAAAATATCGAAGTGTTATACGAAGATATAGCTTTTAAGAGACAAGAACGAGTGATTTGTTTATAATAAATGCTCTCCAGGCTAGAGCATAAGAATACGAGACATATTCCCCACTAAGAACAAATGTATAAAGTATATTTCGTTAATCAAATGTCTCGTCGACTTTAATATTATTTTAAATTTATGTATTTTTTCAACATTTGTAATATTACCTTGGATATTTTCATAAAAGTTCCAAAATTATCTCCTTTTTAAAATGCTTCTATTCCAGATAGATTTCCATACAGTTTTAAGGAATATTTCGTTCTCCCTCATCCACTGACATGAAATCTCACAATTCACCCCTCTTTAGGAGGCCTGATTGCTTTGATACAATTTGTAACAGCCTAAGCCCACCACTAGTCGATATTGTTTTTTTAACCCTCATGTCAGTCTCATGGTTTTACGCCAAAAAGAGATTTCCACACTCTTATAAGAAATACTTAGTTCCCCTCTACAATCGATGTGGGATCTCACAAAATTTATGTAACGCCCTAAATCCACCACTGGCGATGGGCTTGGGTCGTTACAGATGGTATTAGAGCCAAACACGAAGTGGTGTGCCAATAAGGACTCTGGCCCCAAAGGGGGTGGATTTGGGGGCAGTCCCACATCGATTGGAGGAAGGAAAGAGTGCCAGCAAGGACGCTGGGTCTCGAAGGGGGTGAATTGTGATGTCTCACATTGGTTGGAAAGGGAAACAAACCACCATTTATAAGAGTGTGGAAACCTTCCCCTGGCATACTCGTTTTAAAGCCTTGAGGAGAAGCCCGAAAGGGAAAGCCCAAAGAAGACAATATCTGCTAGCGGTAGATCTGGGCCGTTACAATTTATTAGCAGATGACCTGAAACGACATGAACGTAACTAAGATGATGATTATCTAGATTAAGTTTAAAACAATAACATTCGCACACATGAACTCTTCAACCAATATTTTAACAATTTTTCTACTCTAAAAATATTTTTAAAACGTTTATAAAAGATCTTACCCCTTAAACACGGGAAAGTTGCGAAACCCAAAAAAAAAAAAAGAAAAAAAGAAAAAAAAAAACATTTGAGCAGTGAAAGAGAGGAGCCGAAGACAGATAGATACCCAATCAAGAGAAGCTGGAAAGCTAAAAACAAAAAACCAAAACAACAAAAAGGAAGCACAAACAGACATAGAAATAGTTTAAGTTACTTTGATTTGATGTTCATAAACAATTCAATGGAAGAGAAAATAAACAAATTTAAAGAAAAAACTCAGAAAATTAAGCTGTAAAGATTCAAGAAAAGCTTTGGTTGTAAAGGAAACAGAGCAAGAATCAGACCAACTTGGATTCCAACATGTTGTGTGCTGTTCTTTCGTTCTTTCTGACACACACCCTATTGTTCTTCTTACGCTTGTGGCCCCATCCTCCACATGTGCTTCCGCTTCCCCTCATTCTAATCCCATAAACACATTATTTGATGTGTTCTTTCTATTGGGTCGGATAAAAAATCCTTACTTTCCAATCTGTTCTTGAAGATTTTTAACTTTGAATCGAGTTCTTACCAAAAAAACTATGTTTTTCTGTTTTTATGCAATGATTTTTGCTCTCTCTTGAGAAATCTTGTCCTTCGTTCTGCTGCTGTTTCTTTCCATGGAGAAGAAAACCCAGTTGGGATTCAACCATTTTCTCCTCGTTCATCTCTTAACCTTCGCTTCAATCTTCCTCTCTGCAAAACCCCAAGAACTCAGCTCTGATGTCTCTGTAATGCTGGCACTGAAAAAGGGTCTAAACCCGCCGGAATCTCTTGGCTGGTCGGACCCCAATCCCTGCAAGTGGAGCTTTGTCCTCTGTTCCGACGACAATCGGGTCACTCGGATCCAAATCGGCCGCCAAAATCTTCAGGGTACGCTCCCTTCAAATCTACAAAATCTCTCAGCTTTAGAGCGATTAGAGCTTCAATGGAACAAAATCTCTGGCCCTTTGCCGAGCTTGGGCGGATTAACCTCTTTGCAAGTGCTTTTGCTTAGTGGGAATCAGTTCACTTCCATTCCGGCGGATTTCTTCGCCGGAATGAGCTCGCTTCAAGCTGTTGAAATCGACGATAACCCCTTTTCAGCCTGGGAGATTCCGGCGAGTCTTCATAATGCTTCCACTCTACAAAACTTCTCAGCCAACTCCGCCAATGTTTCCGGCCAAATTCCGGCGTTTCTCTGCGGCGATGACATTCCAGGGCTGACTAATTTACACCTTGCTTTTAATAATCTTGAAGGGGGTCTTCCTTCTAGCTGCTCTGGGTCTCAATTGGTGTCTCTATGGGTTAATGGCCAAAAAAGTGTCAATAAGCTTAGTGGGAGTATTGATGTTTTGCAGAACATGACTTCTTTGAGTGAAATTTGGTTGCATTCGAACTCGTTTTCTGGTCGTTTACCGGATTTCTCAAGGTTGAAGGATTTGCAGGTTTTGAGTTTAAGAGATAACAAGTTTACAGGTCTTGTTCCAAGTTCTTTGATGAATTCTGAGTCGTTGAAAGTGGTGAATTTGACTAATAATCTGCTACAGGGTCCAGTTCCTCTGTTCAAAACAGGGGTCGTTGTGGATTTAGCTAATGATTCCAACAGTTTTTGTTTGTCAAAACCTGGGGAATGTGATTCACGAGTAAATTCATTGCTTTCCATTGTGAAATTCATGGGTTTTCCTCAAAGATTTGCAGAGAATTGGAAGGGAAATGATCCTTGTAATGAATGGATTGGAATTTCTTGCAGGAATCAGAGCATAACCATTATAAACTTCCAAAAAATGGGGCTTTCTGGTGTGGTTTCTTCAGAGTTTGCTACTCTTAAAGGGCTGGAGAGATTGGTTCTTGCTGATAATAACCTCACAGGCTCTGTTCCTGAGGAGCTTACAAGCCTTCGTTTTCTAACTGAGCTGGATGTTTCAAACAATCAGCTTTCTGGGAAGATCCCAAATTTCAGGAGTAATGTGATGATTAACACTAAGGGCAACCCTGATATTGGGAAAGAAACGAGTGATTCTTCTATGAATGGCGCTCCGTTGTCGTCTGACTCGAAGGGAGCGGGTTCGAACGGTGGTCGAAACTCGGGAGATGGGGAGAAGAAACATAATTCCATGGTTGGTGTCATTGTGGTTTCTGTAGTTGGAGGGCTGTTTGTTGTTTTCTTGATTGGTTTGGTGGTTGTGTGTGTGTATAAAAGGAAGCAGAAGCGATTTAGTCAAGTGCAAAGCCCGAACGCGTTGGTTGTTCATCCACGGTATTCGGGTTCGGATAACGAGAGTGTGAAGATCACGGTTGCTGGATCAAGTGTTAGTGTAGGTGCTATTAGTGAAACACGATATGGTGATAGTAGTGAGATTGGTGATATTCAAATGGTTGAATCAGGAAACATGGTGATTTCGATTCAAGTGTTGAAAAACGTCACGAATAATTTCAGTGAAGAGAATGTTTTGGGACGGGGAGGATTCGGGACGGTCTATAAAGGAGAATTACACGACGGGACGAAGATTGCAGTGAAGAGAATGGAGTCGGGAGTGATTAAAAGCAAGGGATTAACAGAGTTTAAGTCTGAGATTGCTGTTTTGACAAAAGTTCGACACCGACATCTCGTCGCTCTTCTCGGATACTGTTTGGACGGGAACGAGAAGCTTCTTGTCTACGAGTTCATGCCTCAAGGTACACTTAGTAGGCATCTTTTCAACTGGATAGAAGAAGGATTAAGACCTTTGGAATGGACAAAGAGGCTGACCATTGCATTAGATGTTGCAAGGGGTGTTGAGTATCTACATGGTTTGGCTCATCAAAGCTTTATACATAGGGATTTGAAGCCTTCAAACATTCTTCTTGGAGATGATATGAGGGCTAAGGTTGCAGACTTTGGTCTCGTGCGTTTAGCACCGGAAGGTAAGGGTTCTATTGAGACGAGGATCGCCGGGACCTTCGGATATTTGGCACCAGAATATGCAGGTACTTCTCGACATGGAAAACTATTGATATATATCTACCATTGTTGTGTTTCTTCTTGGATTGTCTTGTCACATCTCGTAATGGCAATGCAAATACTTTAGATTATCTTGTTAACGTTCTTTGAGCTCGTGTGTGTGATGACTCGATACTAACATAAAACTCCTATTATGCAGTTACGGGTCGAGTAACGACTAAAGTTGATGTATTCAGCTTTGGTGTGATTCTAATGGAGCTGATCACTGGGAGAAGGGCACTTGACGAAAGCCAACCTGAGGAGAGTATGCACCTTGTAACTTGGTTCCGAAGGATGCAAATCAACAAGGAATCCTTCCACAAGGCCATTGATTCGACCATTGATCGTACCGAAGAAACGTTCGCCAGCATCAGCACCGTTGCCGAGTTGGCAGGTCATTGTAGTGCTAGGGAGCCACAACAAAGGCCAGACATGGGTCATGCAGTCAATGTATTGTCATCTCTTGTCGAGTTTTGGAAACCAACTGACCAAAATGTCGAAGATATATATGGCATTGACCTCGAGATGTCGTTGCCTCAAGCACTTAAGAAATGGCAAGCTTATGAAGGTAGAAGTCAGATGGAATCGTCTTCGTCGTCACTTCTTCCTAGCTTCGACAACACTCAAACAAGCATACCGACACGACCGTACGGGTTTGCAGAATCATTCACATCTGCAGATGGGAGATGAAAACTATTTCTAATGCAAAATAGTGTTTATATGTAATTGTTCTCATCCCTACAATTACTACTGATTTCTCATATGTTTTAGTATGGATGCGTATTGTGTATTGAACCAGAAAAAATGGTGAAGAGATAGGGAAAAGGGTTTATCTAGATCATCTCTTTTTAACTCTAAAACTTTTCAGGCAAGCTCCATTTTTTGAGGTATACAACGAGTTTAGATCGGTGGTGGTGGTGGTCTATTAAAAGAAATTTGTGGATGGGACTACAATGTGTGCCAAGTATTCATTAAAGGGACATTTCTTCATAAAGGGCCCAAATGAGATAATCTTCAAAAAGGGATAACTACAAAGTAGGGCACGGTTGGAGTTGTCTTCCTTATCCTTGTAAACAACTTTAATGATTCGCCATAGGAAAAATCTTCGCTCTATAGCGTCGAACTGAGGATACCAGAAGAGGGATAGGGTTGTAACTGAGGATACCAGAAGAGGGATAGGGTTGTAACTGAGGATACAAAAATTGGCATTAATGTGGTGGGAATCGATCATAGATCTAAGATCTCACCTGAATTAGTTGAAGCTCAAGGTATGGTAGTGAAAACAAAGGACAAGGTGTTATCAACGAGTCAAAAGAAGCATATATATATCCCTCAAAGTTAGACGAGCCAAACTCCAAAAGAGATCTGAGTGAGAAAAGAAAAGTGCAATCAAACTTCATATCGAAATGATCTCTCCTCTTGACTTAAAAGATATTCAATAGGATAGTCACCCTCTAAACCGTTAGACATACCGTGAAACTATGATTTCATGACTAGCAATCGGAACGTATCCCATGCCCGATAATGTCCAAAAATCTTGTGTACCTGCTAGTAATACCAAATCCTAGCTTGTGTCTCTATAAATATATTATCAACTTTCAATTTAGGTGATTCAATTCACACACAAACTAGAAGTTACTTCCCTTTCCACATTCAGAAGCAAAACAACCACAAAAACATAACCTTTAATCAACAAGAAAAAATTTAGTAACATAAAATATTCCTTCAACCAACCACCCTCTTATGGGCAGGGCAGCTAATGCTGGATCATGCAACTTTTCTCAACAACAAAAGTAAGATATTTGCATGCATTCTTCAAAGTACCATATCTCCTGCAGAAGCCACTAAAAAAGATTCTGATGCCAGCAACTTAAGTTATGATTGGGTCTCCTTGAACAACTTGGTGTTCTACGACCAAATCTACCGCCACCTACCTTTGGTGGCAATCATCAACCAAAAACAAGTACAACCCAATCGTTCAATATCCCACTAATACTATTTAAGACATCTTTGGAACTATAAGCCAATACTAAACTGTTCACTGGGGGAGCAAAAAGGGAAAATGCCGGCTTATGCATATTTGATCCAATGGTATCGACTGAAAATGAAATTGGACTCTCTTGACAGCATATAAGACTTTGTTTTGTAAATCAAATGGCCCAATAAATACAAGAAGACATTACTGGGACGTTTGATTTAACAGAAACAAATTCCTGGACTGAGCAAAATTGACAAAATAAGCAGAGTTTGGCAGAAGTTATAAGAACTATGTTAGTCATAAAGCTTACAGGACAAACCAGATGCATAAAATGACTATAATATGAAAGGGATAGTCCTCACAACATTCTTCTTTGCATTACAGAACGATCGAAGGCTGTCTTCATCGATCGTGCCAAAGCCCGATAAATGAACTCCATAATTTTCCATTCTTTTGATATCTCGTGGAATGGGAGATTGCCAAAGTCCATCCCACCATGCTGGAGGGAGAAGAGGGGTTAAGGCACACTGGTTAGGCTGGCTAGGGCAGCTTAAAGGACCTGCAAATCTATTCCAGATATGACCCCAGCCAACCTGGTTCTTTAAACCTTCTCTCAACAAATTACTTTGGAAGCTACTCAAGAAGAAGAAGTCTGAACCAGTAGAATTGTTCCCTGAGTATATTTGTAATGTTATGTTAGGAACAGTTGTACAGATGTTCCTCAAAGAACCAAATTATGCTCCTACATGATGTAAAATGATAGATAGAGTATTCAAAGATACCGAGATTGTCGAGATTGTGTGCTGCAGCCAATGCTGCGATTAGCTGAGCATAGGTAGTACCTACACGCCTGTGAGCACCAGAAATAACAGCATGCTTGGCACGGGATGCAAGAAAAAAATCCACAAAGGCAACCCATCTTGGTGAAGGGCCCCAGTCCTTCACTCTGAAATCCAATTTATGAAATTCATCGTGCGTTCCAGAAATGATTCCTCTGAAGTGTTCATAATCAAAATGAATAACCTGAAAACAGAGTCACAAATGAAACTGGTCCGAAATAGTTTTACAGGCATACAAAAGTTATGGGGTTCTTTGACTGAACAATTATTCCGTTAAGCATGTATTTTGAAATTGGGACTACATTTGAAGAATGGAATCACACAATGAGGCAGTTACCTCTGCAAATTCACCTAGCATGGGAACAATACTTTTTACAAAATTTGGGGTATCTGATACTAAAACCAATCTGGGTTTCGAGTCCGTGGTTAGATTGCGTATGCCTTTTCTGATGCACTGCAATGCGGCCTGTAAGCCCCTCACAGACCTGAAATGCAGATGCACATTACTCAGGGAAAGGATCACAAAAGTGACTAATATCCAGGATTTCTATCAACTAAATGGAATTTATTGGAAATAGACATTGTGGATTCAATTCTTATAGCTAGTGGAAGTAGAGAGAGAAGGAAATAACGGTAAATAAGTAGTAACACTACCTATTCATAAGCATCCTCATGTGCAATGAAATATCAGGATCATCCCCACTTTTAAGAACTGAGAACACTGCTTCTTCAACATCCTTTGACGGAGATATAAGAACTCTCATCAGCTCTCCGAATACATTAGGTCTAGATTCCAAAACCTCTGGATGTCCAAACAAATTAGAAGCAGCGGCCCTCATGGCGGGATGTACATTCTTCAAGAAAAATTGAGCAGCCACAGCATCTGTTGTACCTTGGAACCTGATGCACATCAGTCAGCATAAACAGAGTACGAATTGAGCACCGGTTTAAAGTAAACTGAAAGTTATCTATACCATATGATAGGATGCTCCCATTCCTTCCAATTACTACATAGAACATTTGTCTGTGCAGGCTTTTCAAAATCATCAGTTCGCATAATCAAATGCCTATTGAATTTCCTAATACAACCTTTAAGTCTCCACAAATGCTTGATTTCTTTCATGGTAAACGTCACATTGGAATAAGAAATGTAGTCCCCAAATGGAAACTTGCCCCTGAAAATAAAAGTAATAACATAAGTACTATGAAAGTTATTCCATCAATGCACGACTATAATCCTATTGCATAGATATACATAGTTTCTTCTGATATTTATCTGATGGCGTCTTTGAAGTTATTCCATCCATTTATTGAGATGTTAGCTGAGAAAAGCTAATGAGTTTTTATATACCCGACCCGATGCACCATTACTTAGCCTATAACTTAACTGTGAGTGTGAAATGGGAACTATCACAAACACAAAATGCTTCTCTAACGACTCGATACATTATAGTATTCAAAACCAATATTTAAATAGAAATAAAGAGGCTTGATATAGAACCAACATGCCTGGTTTGCCCAATAATCAAGGATCTGTTCAGCATTATACTTAAAGCTCCAGCAGTTAGAATCTTGTACATCTCATTCCCAAAGCCTGCCTCTGAAGATTTTCCCATGACAAAACCATGCTTGCAGAACTGCTCCGGAGGAAGTTGTCGCACTCTTGAAGCACCTAAAATGAAATTAACCATGTCAGTAAATTAAACAGTAAAGGAAAAGCCAAAATGACGAAGATTAGTTTTAAAATTGTTATTTGAATAAGAAGAAGAGCAAAAACTACACCATCAGAAAAAAAACCAATATGAATTTCCCCATAACCTATTCTAAAGAACGAATATGTATACGTGAGTTTTCTTCTTTCTCACTTTATGTATTCTTTCGCCAAGAGATCCACCATAACTCGTAAGACTCGAGAAGTCTTTAATACAACTGCTTGGCATCACAAAACGTCCTCGTGGAATCTTTATTAAATTCAAAACAATCTCTTTTACTAACAAAGCAGACTACTTAAGAACCCAGGAATTTAACTATTAACAACTACTGACTACAAAGAATTGAGCTAAACCAAACCAACAAGCAGGTCATTTTCAATTCACTCCAATAACCATCTTCTTTATTATAGAGTTGGCAGCTTGAAGAACATCAAATCCTCAATCTCAATTTGAAAGCAGCTCAAGGAGACCATTCTTCACGCTCATATGGCACCATAATGCAATCAAGATTACTTTTAACCACACAATGATCTCCTACTATTGTTCTGGCATTATTATCCCCACTGACCAAGTGGAATGGTCTCTTTGACCTACTAGAGAAAGAATAATAATAATAATATTCCACCCTTCTGCAGTTTTCTTTTTTTAATTATTTAACAAGAAGCTGGATCTATAATTAAGCAAAAGAAACAAAAAAATAAACCCAGTAAAAGGAACAGTCGACCAAGAATTTCTATTGCACCAATCCATTATCAACTATATTCCTATGAACTTATAGCCAGGTGAAAAAATAACAAATCTCTTTGGGAACTTTGACCATCCAAATTACATCTTGGAAGCCTAAGGTTTTCTCTAGTTTCATCCACCATCCTTCTCCAAATTCCAACTACTCTCCCCTGTTTACAACCTGTATCTTCCACATTCCTTCAACTCGAGACCAAAACTCCTTACAACTCACACCAGGTTGGTCTAGTAATTAGGGGTCAGTCTGATATTGATTGAAAAGGCAGCCCAGCCGCCCCTCCCCCTAGCAGCCTACCTACTCGTGATCGTAGCTCGATCGGAGGTTGACGAGTGTAGTTTCTGATCTACGACATTTTACTCAACACCCCCAAATAATCAGTATTTTATATTCAATCGATACAGCCAACACACTCACTATGGAACATCAAACGATTATTATAATGGCAAAAAATGGATCGTGAGCCGAATCATGACTCCATTAAACAGTCCTAATATACAAAAGAAGAGCTGCTTGCCAGTAGCTATTAATCATTCATTTAACTATAAGACGATCAACAAGGGGAGGGCAGATGGTTATCAGAAAAGCA